AGTTAGCGTCGATCGATAAGTATCAAGCACATTAAAAGACTACAAAAGTCAATTATTTGAAGCAAGCTCACATAATGTATTTCAACTTTTCAGAAATGCAGTCTATAACCTCTCACTAACGACGCTAAGTGTTCATCATGTAAGTTGTTGATGTTGATTGATTTTTCACTTTGGTTATTGATTATTTACGAAATTTTCGTACTCATCGAGTGTATATTTGGTGTACGTGCGCGTCTGGTGAAGTATTTGAGTACGCGAGCCGATAATCCTACTGTATACAGATTATTGCCAGACATATGCACTTGTGATGATTCTCGAACTCATACAGTAATGTAAACAAAAAAGTTCGGAGGGTTAATGTACGGTAGCGATACCTCGCTGAAGAATAAGCCGGTAGATAAATAGGCAAGGGCAGGAACAAGAACTCGCCTCAGCTGCAGCAAAGATGATTATCTTGGGAATGTAGGGTTCCTAAGGGGATATACGCCGTTATTGTGCTTTACCTCTTGAGTATCGTAGTTAGAGCTCTACGTTGGGGATCCTCCGCGACGAGAGAGGCGTATGAAATTCGATGAACGAGAGGAGGTTGCATTGCTTTGAGGCGAATGTTCCTGCAGTTGACGTTTTCCTGGTTCTTGCATTATCACTGCCGCTATCCCCTCATCCTCCTTCCTCCCCCGTTGAGGCGGTTTTTTGGTAAAACGAGAGAATATCTCTGGAGAGGAGTGAAAAGTCGGGGTGAATTAGGAAGATGGCCAGTGGGACTGGGGTTGTACCAAAGGAGGAATTTTCGGAAGGGGTCGCATTTTTCGAAATGTTCTGCAACAGCAGGATGTGCCTTAATCGTCGTGCGCTTAGATGTGATCAACACCTGCTCAAGAGAGAAGCGCTGTTGAAAAGCTAAGCGCCACAATCTTTCCAGTTCCCCAAAAATTCAAGAAATAAGCCCTTGCAAATTCCACCGTAGTTACTCAAAAAGCTTATATGGCTCTGTTGGATGCAAGTTAATACTGATGATTTAGAAAATTGACTGGAAACCTCCAGCAGATGTGATAGAAGAGTGTCTGATGAAGGGCAAGCTGAAGGTCAGTACTTCTCGTTTTCAGTTTCTCGTTATAAATAGTGCTAACTTCTACACGTACCACCATTATTTTTGTCAGATTCTTGATAATAAATGTTTGTCATGACTACCTGCAGGGCTTTCGAAGAACTTTCTTGGGGACTTGATTTCAGAAATCTGCAGAATCGTGCAGTTTTTATTTAGCAAAGAAGCGCGCGGTTGCGCGCGGTGCTGCCCACCAGCAGAAACCTGCTCAGAAACAGCTGTTTTTTATAGCTGGATGATTTTAGATGAGTGTGAAGGATCACTACTTGTAATATTGAATGTACTTAGATAAGGCAATTGCATGGGACAAGATTCTAAGTAGGTGGTCACAGCGCACAGCCATTCTGGGTCATTTACGAGCTTATGGCGTACTATGAGCAGAGGTGGTGTACCGGCAAACAGCACGCTTACCACGCGCACGTTCAGAGGATCACATGGATTGGCTTCCGTGTAGGCCAGGCGAGCTTTCTACCCTCAGAGGACAATTGATTGGTGCGGGATTCGTCTGGGAGGATAAGAACACTGATTTGTTCATCGGATGGTTCCTCCAGGTCACTGTATGGGCTACATCGCATTTAATAGGCCGCGATCCCGATTGGGGGTAGAATGCGTGTCGCATCCCAAAAAGGAATTTATCCTTTGTGGGCACTCTGCGATGTTTGTCGCGACAAGATGTCTTATTGCTTCGTTCTTCAAATGAAATGAAAAACAATGTAAACAAGGTGTGAGGTCTCTTGTCGAAACCTTTCGACTTGACTTGAAAAATATATTGTATTAGATTTATTTTTTGTATCTTTACACTTGAACTTTGGAAAATCGCCTTATATTGTCGGTTTCAGAGCGACTGCCAAAATTATATCCGAGTATTGGCGCGCCAGTCATCGGGTAAAGCGTTGATTTGTGGAACACACGCGTTCTCACCGAAGTGCAGAGAATACGTGTATTCGAGCACTGATGGCACGTTGAAAAACGTTCGGCAATTTGACGGAATGGTACGTTATAGCGTTCTCTCTACAATACCTTGAGAAAACCTTATTGCGAATCGTTCCAGGGCATATCGCCGTATGATCCACGTGATAACTCGACCGTGGTGTATCTACCAGAGACGAATGAGATCTACACGGGAACCGTATCAGATTTTGTAGGCAATGACCCCTTAATATATCGTAAACGAATCGGTGAAAATGATCGCGATAACGGTATTCGGACACAGCGTGACGACGCCAGAGTGCTAGACTGTGAGTTCATCTAAAGGACGAGCTTTTGTGAAGTAACACATTAGTACGGGACATTTGCAGCTCCAAACTTCGTCGGCTCGTTTGTCTACAAGGAACATGTCTATTACTGGTATAGGGAACGAGCCGCAGAGGCCATGGATAATAATGAAGAGCGACAAGTAGGTCTTAGCCGTAGTCTGGTCGACTGGCTTATTACCAGTAGTAAGCCACACTGTATCCCTGTCCTTTCAGATCTACGCTCGTGTGGCACGGGTTTGCCGTAACGACAAAGGTGGCGCTAGACCAGCTAATGAGCGATGGACGTCGTTCGTGAAAGCACGGCTGAACTGCTCCTTGCCGTCAGCAACACCCTTCTACTTTAATGAACTCAGTGAGTTTATTCTTGCAAGACGTTTGGCTAGCAGAGACCAAGTTCCTTGAGCGAGAGAACACGGACTAGCTTTCACGATATCGAAATCTCATTCGCATAAGGTAGAAATATTAGATCACTGGAAGGGAATCGTATTTGTCGTTGAGAAAAACCCCGAGACGCAAGAATATAGTGGGGGGGGGGTACAGAACTGCTGTAATAACTACTATTTCTGGCAGTGGAAATTAATTGAATTAGTGGTGAAGCAGACCCTCTCCCCCCTGTCGCTAGATCCCGGTTTTAGGAAGGGGGAGGGGGAGGGAGGTGAACTGGAACATTCTTGAAACAAAGGGAAAAAGTATTAGGAAGATGGCAAATGCAGGAGGATGGTACTTTGGATAAGGAATGGCGTCAAACCAGATGAGGAAATTTGGGGAGTGGGGGTCGTACTGAGACCGCCATTTCGCGCATCACGATGCTATACCCTGCTACCTATGCTCTTTTACACTGGCCGAATCACCACTTGGCTACAAAATACATAGCAGACCATTATTTTGTAGAGCGTAAAGAGTAGTAATTTGAAGATTTAAGAGTTCTCTGAACGGAGACATTGGTTCTGCATGAAAGAGACTCCAGGAAAAATTTGAACACGAGCACCCAACTCAACTCCTTATTGTCTCTCTTACAGAAGCGGTTTCCGACCCGATAACGACGTCCGCAAATGATCATCGCGTCTACGCTGTGTTCTCCACTCCAGATTCTGACGTTCGAATGAGCGCCGTGTGCTCCTTTTCAATGAAGCGCATCAGAGAGGAGTTCGACTACGGGACATTCAAGCAGCAGGTAGGCTCTAATGCCGCTAGAAGTAAGATTAGCTTACTTTGTAAAGGCTGCCCTCACGTCTTC